TAATGGCGAACAACGACTTGATTTTGTTGTTTTCCGTGCGTTTTCCATTGTTCTTCTGCCTTCCTTTTCCTGGCCGCTGCAATTACTTTGGGTCGTGCTATCACACTGACGACATAAACAGATGCGCGTTGGTTGTGGACTCTTGTATGGATCCACCCACCGATCGGTCGGCTTGGCATGTGCGCGGTGGCAAGCTGGAGGTAAACGCCGACAACAAGTTTTCTACTTGGCAAGTCTTGGACGTGGCGGATACCATTGCTTGTGTTTTTGGCGTCTTGTCGGACAAGAAGTATGAAAAGCTTCTCTAGACAACACTGCGAGGTTGTCAAGAATGATTGGTCAAGTCTTGCTTGCCATGCGACCTGTTTACCGAGCCGCTCTATTCATCTCTGGCTGAGAAATGGGAACAGAGGGGAATTAGCCGTGCGACATTGCAATGTCGAGGAAAGCCGCATGTCTTATCTCAATGACGGCGCCGAGACCAGCCCTACTTAAATCAATATCGACAGTTCTTTCTCATCCCCACGGGGAGCTCCTCATCCTACGAACCACCCCTCTTCAACATCATAGTGCAGGATAATCATCTGTCAAAAGACTGAAGATTGGGGAAAGGACATAGCTTATCGCATCGCCAAAGACAGCATCGCGTGCGACCGCGGTCTCCAGGTTTCGCGGTTTGACCACACTTCCGGACATCGGGTTCCCAGTTTGGGAAATCCGAGCAGGCATGAACCTACACCACCTCCGTGACTGTCGCCGATCGAAGATGCGGCTCACCCGCCGCATGCCCCACGGTTTCCGTCATTGTTCCCACCCTTGACCCGCAAATCGGGCAAACCCACCGACAAAGTATGATGTCAAGGTCCAGTATTGATGCGAACGCAATAGCCCTTTCACGATTTTTTCAGCCCGCCAAGTCGAGAATGGAAAGAGGAATTTTCGGTTGACGCTCCTCTGTGGTATGACTCCATCAAACATAACGGCCGAATAACGTGAGGATGCTGACCAGAATGACCGTCCAATACTGGGGCTCTGGATCCTTCAAGGTCCCCTTTTCGCCGTTGGGAAGGCCCGACTAACGCCAGCGTCATGGGACGATAGCGTCATAACTCCAACTTTCTGTCGGAGTTTATCTTTCATATCGTGGAGACCCCGAGCATTGATAAAGACGTTGGACGGCCTAAGAGATCGAAATCCGGGGCACCGTTGGTTGACATTTATCAGCTGTCACATCATTTCACACGCTAGGTCTCGTCCTTTCATGCCTTTCGTAAGACCTCGGAACATTTGGTCCTAGACTGTCACCGTCACCTCGCATTCGACATCACATATCGGCAGCCCGGCACATCACGTCTTCGGGCCGGGACTGTTTGCTACCAGACCGTCACCATGGCCTCCACACCACCATCGAAAAGCCCGCCCACGTCCGGCGCGAACGCGGCCGAGGAAGCGAACCTCACCCGCAACAGCAGCGCAACACGAGTCGGCCCGAGCTTCGACGAAAAGCCGGAACGACCAAGAGAGAAGGAAGAAGCTCCGACCGGTGGCTTTTTCCAAGACGCACCAGGCCGAGACGAGGAGTCTGAAGGCACGACTACCCACGAGAACATCACCTCGAAGAGCAACCAACCGCAGTACACCCCAGATGGCAAGCGCATCATCACCGAGGATGAATGCTATCACCTGCTCGGCTACTCGTGGCCCTCGTGGAAGAAGTGGATGCTTCTCTCGTCTATCTTCGCCGTCCAGGTGTCGATGAATTTCAACACAAGCGTCTATCCGAGTGCTGTTACGCCGCTCAGTGAGCACTTCGCAGTCAGTGAGCAGGCTGTTCGTGCATCACAATGTGCGTTTCTCGTGCTTTACGCTTTCGGCTGCGAGCTTTGGGCGCCATGGAGCGAGGAGTTTGGACGATGGAAGATCTTGCAGTAAGTTGATAGCCAACATGAAGGGTTGATGCTGGATTTGAGAATTTTTCTAACAAATGCCCCAGGTGTTCCCTGTTTCTGGTAAATATTTGGCAAATCCTCGGCGGGCTCGCACCCAACTTTGCTTCCATCGTTGTCGCTCGAGGTCTTGTAAGTTCAATTGCCTTCACAATCTTGTGATGATCAATGTCGATGAATACTGACCGACACCCCATAGGGCGGTTTGAGCTCAGCAGGAGGCAGTGTCACGCTGGGAATGGTAGCAGACCTCTACCAACCTGATGACCAACAGTGGGCAGTCCTCTTCGTCGTTCTCTCCTCCGTATTCGGTACCTCTGTCGGTCCTGTGGTCGGCGGCCCTATTCAAGCCTTCCTGCCGTGGTACTGGAACTTCTGGATCCAGCTCATCTTTGGCGTCACTGTTCAGGCTGTTCACTTCTTCATGCCTGAGAGTCGCTCCACTATCCTCATGGACAAGGAAGCAAAGCGCAAGCGCGAGGCTGGCATCGACACGAACGTCTATGGCCCCAACGAGGTCAAGAAGCCCCGACTCTCCGCCCACGAGTTCGCAATCACTTGGATTCGACCTTTCGAGATGTTCCTGCGAGAGCCTATTGTCCTTTCTTGCTCTCTTCTTTCTGGTTTCTCCGACGCTCTCATCTTCACTTTCCAAGAGGGGTTCAACCCAGTTTTTGAGAAGTGGGGGTTCGGCGTCCTCGAGACGGCTTGGGCTTTCATTCCGATCAACATCGGCTACCTGATTGCCTACATTTCTTACGTACCCTGGATCATCAGAGACCAGAGAGTCATCAAGGCGAAGGGCTCCGACGCCTTGCCGCCTGAGCGTCGATTGAGATGGCTCCTCTATCTCGCGCCATTGGAGACAATCGGCTTGTTCGGTTTCGCATGGACGTCTATGGGACCCCCTGAGTCGCACTGGATTGCTCCAATGATTTTCTCTTGCCTGATCGCCATCGCCAACTTTGCTATTTACATGAGTACTGTGGACTACATGATTGCTGGTAAGTATCTGATCTTAAACATCACAGCATGATTGCTAACCACCATCACAGCTTACGGACCCTACAGTGCATCAGCAACAGGAGGTAATGGCTTCGCCAGAGACTTCCTCGCCGGCATTGCGGCCATGTACTCGACACCACTCTATGAGAACATTGGCAAGACGCGTCATACGGAGTACGCGAGCACGATCCTCGCATGCCTCGCCTTTGTCGTCACAATCCCGGTGTACCTCATTTACTGGAAGGGACCCGTCATTCGAGAAAGATCCAAGTTCGCTCAGTCACTTGACGCCGACAGACGCGCCAAGGGTGGTCGTCGAGTCGTCGACGCTCCCGAGGAGCAGCTTGAGCCCAAGAACCTGTAAACAGGCATGCGATGGACGATATGCCTGCTCAATCCGAGGGTCTAAGCATGATTGAAGAGCACAGCACAGACACCTGTGCATCCGATCTGGAAGTGGCTTCTTTAGAGCTGAAAAGGACTTGGGGCCAAAGAGGGCATTGCATTCATGATGTTATTTGTAATGATACCAACGCACGATCAATTGTAAAAAGTAATGAGTGATACGATACCATGGTATCCCCAGCACTCTGAACCGAATGCTGTCCGTCTCTCCAGCCAAAACAGAGGGGATCTCTGTTATTTCGAAGATTCATGGAAGGATCACAGAACACTAGCGTGGGGCTGAGAAGCTTACTTCTAGGCTTAGGTGCCATCAGTCAAGGCACGCGAGTTGTGCGGCACAGCGCTGCGGTCCAGCACACACACCTTTCTTAACCCCGGGGCACATTCTGACAAACACTAGCTTGATTGGGTAAAAATGTCCATATTGTTTCATACGACGGATCTGGGGAAATGGGGCACTTACATTCTGCTTACCATGCAGCCCGAACTTCCCGGCTTTATGTGCTCCGATTCGCACCCTTTCCCCCGTACCCGACACTGTCTGTAGCTCGAAATGCGAAGAACTTCAATATGCGGCAACGGGTATCGCCTTCACACTTCGATTTGTGGGCTAGGTAACGAGATAACGATCTTCTAGCCCCTCTTAAAACCATTTACATCCAATTTATAGAGGGCTACGACGCTGTGGTGCTCCTCATTAGAGCCGATGTGAATCAAATCATTGATCGGTGGACGAGTGCCAATTTTCAGTATTCAACTAAAATCAACTTGAAGATGATGGGGTCAAATTACTGCACAAGGTAGCGGCTGAGTCTCAGAGAACGCGTCTCCAGTCAGACATGCGTCGAAAATGGGCCGACAATACCTTGCTCTCATATTGTGCAACATGACGTTAGAATATTGGTCTTAGTAGATCAGCCAAGACGCCAACATCTTGGAATAACGCTGCGTCTGCCGGTAGCCGTCTACGGCGCCCGACAGACCTCCGCCATCCGGGCGACGTGCGGGTGGCCGAACCAGGCACGGCGTGAGGTGGACGTCAGCATCGTATTACGATTCAGCCACCCGTTGGGTTGTTAGTGCCTTGGCATTAGACGAAGGTCCCCAAACGCTGACGTTCATCGCGCCCAAGCCTTGGAGCATCGGCTGCCGGCTTGAGGCACAAGTATGCAGCCAACGCGACCACATCCTTTGGCTGCCAGGTCGGCCACGGCACAGCCCGCCGCGTGCCAGTTGTGCGGGCAACAATGGGGCATAAACAACAATTTGCCAATTAGGACGTGCTGACGGATGCGACTAGACCCAACGTGGAGAAGGCGAGAGTGGCAGTACTGACAGGGCGAAATCCCTCTGCCTAGCAGGCGGACTGGCATCACGATCCTACTGGAGAAGGTCGGTGACGACTGACTCTTGGAAGCCGTTTGTGGCTACAAAACTGGATGTACGCCAAGCTGGGTGACCCAAAATGGAGAATAGGTCGTTGAAGGAACGTCCTGTGAAATTGTTGAAATACCTCGTGTCGCCTCGAGTTTGTTATTCATGTTCCATAACGCTCATACGACAAACAAGACCCAAGTTTTCTTCATTCTCCCTATCATCACACAGAGGAAAACTTGCAATCGGTAGTCAGCCGATCTCATCGCAATGGTGTCTTCTCTTCTATTGGCTAGCTCTCTAGTCAGCCTTACTCAGGCAGTGTCTCTGCCACTGTCTACCAGGGGCACAAACTCAACGAAAGCGTTCAGTTGGGTCGACACAAAACCAACAAAAGACCTGCAATACTACGACTGTGGCAGCGGCTTCCAATGCGCCCGTCTCGAAGTCCCGCTTGACTGGGCAAACCCAACCAGAAACAGTACCGCTGCCATCGGTATTGTCAAGCTCCCGGCCGCAGTCCCGGATGACGACCCATCTTTCGCCGGCAGCGTCCTTATCAACCCCGGCGGACCAAGCGGTTCCGGCACCGCTTTCGCCTACTCCTGGGGCCCCGGCTTGCAGAAGGTCATCGGCGAGAACTACGAAGTCATCGGCTTCGACCCACGTGGTGTCAACACGAGTACCCCACACGCCGACTGCTTCAAGGGAGACCAGTTCGCCCGGAGGCTCGCTCAGGAGCGCACTTCTAATCTTCCACCCATTGATGACACCATTGGCTATCATTGGGCGAGCGCCTCTGCTCAGAGTGCTCTCTGCGAGGAAAACGGTGCTGATAGCATCTGGGGTCACATGAACACCGCGTCCGTTGCTCGCGACATGGTGGAGATTATCGATCGCATTGACGACCTGCGCTGGAAGGAATCAGGCAAAGCCAAGCCTAAGGATGCCGAAGCAGCTCGCCTTAACTACATTGGCATTTCTTACGGGACGTTCTTGGGCAACACATTTGCTTCCATGTTCCCCGAGCGCATTGAGAGAATGTGGATTGATGCTGTCGTTGATGGCGACGATTGGTCCGCTGGTGTGAGTCTCCATCTCCTTTCAGGCATTCATAGAATCCTAACTGTCCTCATAGACTTTCCGCAATGACGTCAACGATGCTGAAAAGATTGTTGACCAATTTTACGAGCTCTGTTATGAATCAGGGGACGATTGTCCTCTCCTTGAATCATCTGACAAGTCCGGTGCAGACATCAAGGCTCGTGTCGCCGATGTCCTTGACGACATGGACACTACGCCTGTGTCCTTTTCCCACAACGACACACCGTATGTTCTAACATCACCAGTCATCCGCCAAGCAATCTTCTCCATGTTGTACAGTCCTTTGAACTCATTTGGGATTCTTGCCCTCGGTCTCAGCGCTCTTATGAACGGCAACTACTCCATCCTCACAGTGTTCCTTCCCTCCGACTCCATTAAGCTGGTCTGCGATGCCTCAGATGACAACGAGCTTCCTGAGTACAGATGGGGCTCGGACGTCCTGGCAGGCGTTCTATGCACCGACATTGTTGACGACGTGGTTGATCGCAATATTTCCTTCTACGAGGAGGTTGTCGACTACCTGAAGAACCAGTCCGAAACCACCGGCAGCAGCGTCTCGGGAGCAATTCCGATCGCCTGTGCTGGGCGCAAGATCCGCCCTTCCTATCCGTTCACGGGACCTTTCACGAGCCCTGCAGCAAATGCCAACGATACGAACGCCCCCGCTGCACCTCTCTTGATTACATCCAGCCGCTACGACCCCATTACCCCTCTCAGGAACGCCTTCCATGTGTCAGAGGGACATCCCGGCTCCGCTGTCGTTATCCAGGAGACTTCTGGACACGGTGCAACCTCCAACCCGAGCGAGTGTCTTGTAAAGATAGTAAGGGACTACTTTTCCGAGGGCAAGCTTCCAGAGAACGGTACCGTCTGCGAGTCCATATGCCAGCCGACAATTCCTGCCGACACGGAAAGCTGCACCTCCATTCTCGACTCCAGAGACGTGGAGTACATGCTTCCTGCTTTGGGAGACTTCCATTGGTTCTAGGTGTAGAAGTTTATTGCGCCCGATAATGTCCACGGGTGTTAATGTGTCAGTGGAAAGTTCGTGCATAGTATACCTGTGCGCGCTGTCTTGTTCCTGCGATTGGCTTTCATTGTATATACTAGCTTAATATTACAAACATCTTCTGATATGACCTTAGCGCCTTTGCTTGGAGAGAAAGCATTTGTTTTGATTGTAGTCAGTCGAACGAAGATTATCTAGAAGATGGGACCTTCGAAATTCCTCATGAAAGTCCCCTAAGCATCCGCAAGAATATCATCCAACGCTTTCTCGCTGATCATGAAAGTCGCCAGTGTTGGCACCTCTCCAGGCTGAACCGGAAAGACGGACCCATCAACTCGAAGCCCTTGTACTCCACGAACGCGGAACTTGGAGTCCAACACAGCCATACGATCATCATCTGCCCCGATTGCACAGGTCCCACTAACATGATGAGAGTAGGTCTGAGCTCGAAGGAAAGCCTTCTGCTCCTCGTTCGTGCAGCTCGTAGCACCTTGACGACAAGGTCGGTGCTCAGTGAATGCGTTGTCGGTCAGGTTGGTAAGAACGGACCTCTCAAGGTTGATCGCCTCCACCATAGAGTCAAGGTCGGCGTCATCGCCTTGAGAAAAGAGCCCAAGATGTATGTTGGGAGCCTCGCGGGGATCAGTAGATCTCAGCTTGACGGTGCCGTTGATATTTCCCGGTTGGAGATGCATGAAGCCACACTCAAACTCGTTCTCCGCCCAACCCGGCATACCAGGGAAGAAACCAATGAAGTTGAAGCTCCCGCAGTAGAAGTGTATATCCCGTGTGCGCTCGGCGACTGAGGTTCGCATGAACATGTCCCAGAACCCAACAACTGGCTTTTCGAACGTGCCGTAGATAACTCCCTCGAGGTTGTCATGCATGTTGATGCCGACACCAGGAAGGTCTTTGACAAGAGGGATGTCAAACTTTGCCAGCTCGTCCGCTGGGCCGACACCGCTAAGTTTGAGAAGCTGCGGGGTGTTGAAGACACCGCCGGCAATGATGATCTCTTTCGACGCAAAGGCCTTGCCAGGGGCCCCGATCTGGGATGGGTCATGACGAGGATCTGTTGAGTACAGGCTTTGGCCTTGAAGGTACTCGACTCCAAGCGCCCGTGGCGCCGTGTTTCCATCTGCTGGCTTGTCGAATATGATTTTCGTCGCGAGTGTGTTCAGCTGAAGTGTCAATGGGAACTTTCTCTCGTCACCCACGGTCGCCCGAATTTAGTTACTTGGACTGGATCGCACACCATTGCGAGAGTGGGTGTGAGGGGTAAACACCCCCAGGAGGTTATCGCGTTTCGCATCGTCCGAGTCGGTGTCCCTCCCGAGTAACCCAGCAAGCTCAGTGAAGTTAATTCCTGGCGGAAACCCGAAAGCTGTAGAAGCATGTAAAGCCAATGTAGACACATCCGATTCGTTTAGAGCCCAGGAATAGTCACTCTGAGAAGTATCGATGTATCCCGTGAAACCGTGAGATGCAGTACTTCCGTTGACAAGGTAATTGCATCGCTCTAGTCTGACAAGATACTTGCGCATGTTTGCTGGTGACCATGTCTCATCCCCAGTCAGATCGGCGATGTCCTGCCAGTCCACATCCGCAGGCAAAGAGATCGTAGCCGCGTTATGCATAGCGCAGCCGCCAAGTACACCAGCTCGTGGATAGTAGACGCCAAGTCGCGTAGAGCCAGAAGGTGGATTCAACCCAACGTAAAAGTCGCCGTCGGTTGTGTTCCAAGTGGTGAAATCATAGACGCTGTCAATTTCTGGCGTATCTCGCGTTACGAAGAAGTCCCATCGCGTTAAGGGATCGTTGATAGCCGGTGTATCATTGTAGACCATGTATGAGTTGATGTTGTCTGCTTGGTCATTCCCAGCTTCAATGAGTAACACTGTGTGGCCTTCCCGGGCCAGGTTGGCAGCGAGCGGACCACCACCTGGACCGGATCCCACCACAATGTACTCATATGTCTCAGGAACCTCTGAATCTTCTGAAAGGGCTCCGTTGAAGTATAGAAGGAAGAGAATCAAGAGATAAGAAAAGTTCATTTTGGATATCGATCTGGCAAGCTCTAGGTTTAGATCTGGGTAGGATGCTTCTCGCTGTCGGCCAAATTGACAGGAAGTAAAGCGTTTCTTCTGGCTTTTAATATGTTCCCAAACTCTCCCTTTGTGTCCGGATTGATGCCACGAGTCTACCGAATCTTCCGTGTCTTTGTTCGCCAAGTCATGTTTTCCCCAGACGGTAATTAAATCGGCTTCGAGGTTAGTCCAATATACGATGCCCTACGTCACCAGCACTGCGGCACTGGCGCGATATCCTCTCAGTGGTTTAAGCAACTGCAAGTCTATACCACATCTGCAGATAGTGTTTACTACCTGCCGGCTGTTGTAAGTTTTGCATTCCGCTAACTCCGTGATTCGCTAGCTCCCGTGTGAGGGGTCCGGGATTATCTTAACTCAAAGTCTAAACCCGATCCCTGCACGCATCACTACAGTTGCACTGACTAGGTTTGGGTTTGTTTGCCAAGAATTCACAACACTGGAAGGCTGGTTGAATGGCCACAGGGTTCGTTCTTACCATGGCTTTGAGGCGGGTTCATGCGCCACAACGAGGTTACACAGTCGTTCTCGCCGTGACAAGCCGGTTATGACAATAGCCATTGGAAATATTTTTGGGAGCTTGTGGCGCTTGCCTATCTCTTCGGATCACGCCGAGATGTTGTAAGGATTAAGGAAGTCTTGTGAGTCTATCTAGGAACCTGCCTACTGGCGGCTTTCTATCTCAAGGAACTGCTGCAATGTGTCTTTTACAGTTGCCTGCAGCGGACGGTACTCAACACCCAGAACCTCCACGATTTCGTTCCCGTCAACCTGATACAAGTTTTCCAGAGCCTTCATTTTACCAGTTCCCGGGCTACCAACGGGAACTCGATTCTTGACCTCTGGCAAAGCTTCCCTGACTGCATCAGCGGCAGTCTGCCAGTCAAAGTGATGCCCGAGCAAGAATCTCTGGCCACCAGCCGCAGGTGTTTCCACAGCCGCAACAAGCATAGCAGCCGTGTCACGCACGTCCACAACTCCGGCCCACTGTAGTTCCGGAATTTCCTTGGCGTCCATGAGTTGCCAAAGAAGCTTGGAAGTTGACGTGATTTCTTCCAAGTTACCAATTTCCTCAAGGTGAGGGCCCAAGACCAGGGCAGGGTTTAAGCAGCACAGATCGAAATTGGTCTGGTTGTCCTCAATCCATGCCCAAACTGCCTTTTCCGAAAGCGCCTTTGATGCCAAGTACAGAGCCACACGATCTTTGAGAGACGCTGCCTCTTCAAATGTGGTTGGGTTCCAGTCAGACTCGTCATAGACGTATCCGATACGAGGGTCCTTGGAGTTGTCAAGCATCGCCGCCAAGGAAGAAACATGAACCACGCGCTTCAAAGCAGCACCGCCGTACAGCTTGCTGGCTTCCAGGATTCCCGTGGCACCCTTGATGGCAGGGTTCAACATGTCGCGAACATTGTCCTCGACATGGCCGTGAACAGGACTTGCGACGTGAATTACGCCCACGGTCGTTGGGTCAAAGGCGTCGCGAAAGAGCTCGGGGTTGGTGAGGTCTTCGATAAAGATGGTAGTCAACCTTGAGCCATAGTCGTTGGGGAAGGTCGCACGGACTTTGTCGGCAGCTTTTTGAGACCTGACTGTTCCACGGACGTTGTACCCCCGCTTCAAAGCCTGGTCGATGACGTGGAGCCCTAGATAGCCGTTCGCGCCGGTGACCAATGACGGTACCCGAGTTGTTAGACATGCTAGGTGTTGGAAAGAAAGGCGTGTATAAGGTGCGGATTGTTAGGGGTGTGTGAAGAATATAGATCTTGAAGCATGGATTGGTAGTATTGAGGCTTTTTGGTGACTCTGGGTCTTTGCAGTATTTATTAGGCCGAGTGTAAATCGTGGGAAGTTCAAAAGTAAAAGGTTGATTCGCCTAGCAGAATCTACGATGAGCAAAATATAGATCTTATCTCCGGCTGAAGTCCGCGAGACGTTTTATGTCCGTAAACTTGATATTCAGTACTCCCAAGATCTTGGCACTTGATTGCGAATGGGACGAGGTGGATATCAAGGACAAGGGGAGCACGTCAGCACCAGTGGGCCGTTGAGCGTATCCCCGTCAAACCGGACGGAAGAGGCTCATTAGAGTTAGAGTTCAAAGATCAAGAACTACGCGAATGTTTGTCCGGCCTCGGCGACAGCGGAATCGCCGGCCGGTGCGTCACGGAGTAGCCCGCAAGTCTCCCCAAGGCCCCGGGCTACTCCTGGGGCTTCACGATTCCACACTTTGCGCATAAAAGGGTATGACTGCTTTTGCTGGTAGAGACTAGATTGTTTATAGAATTCAATCGACGGCTGTATTTCTATAGGCCCCCAAATTTTCCTGAGTCTGGGCGGCTGTATTTACTGTTCACCGCATAATTACGATTGGGACGAAAGTAGAAGAAAAAATGATAGGGGCGACCACAGCTAAGCGGAAATAATGGGAATGTAGTCTTTTAAGCATAGGTAGAGCTAGGGGCCTTTTTTTCTAATGACCAGAATATGTGTTGATGTGGCTAAAGTTCCTCACTCGGGGCATCATAGAGCCTCGATCGCCAGCGACATCCGAAAGCAGGCTCCACGTTGAAGTCCAACCAGTTCATGCTCTCGAAAGAAGATGTTGCCATACCAACCGCAGCGGCGAAGACGGGTTCAAAGGAGTGGGCGTTGTTAACCACGTCTTCACCAACAACAGCCTTTAAGATGTCAAGGAATCCTCCGTCCATCACCGTATCGCCATAAAGAACAACTCGTTGAATCGTATCTGGCATGGGGTGTCCGTAAAGATCGTGGCCCAATGGGGCCTTAGTAACCTCTGTGAGTAAATCTTTGACGGCTTGCAGATGGCCGGGCTGTTCCCGACGATCTGCGCCAAGCTGCTGGTCGTAGACTTGACGTAAAACGCCCGCAACTCCTTCGTCGTCGGCGAATAGATTAACACTCAGCCCAGAGTCGCTGTAATCTACTGCTAGAACGGCTTGCGTTTCGTAACGCGGTGTGCCTGGGTTATTAATGTGGTTGGCCCACATAACCAACTTCGCAGCGCTCAAGACCCGGTGGGTTAGACGGAGACCGACTGATTCGATTGCTTTGTTGATGATGTAGTCTTGATACTGCCAAGTCTGGTCAGGGACGACTACGCCGGCATAACAAAATGTCGTGCCTAGGTAAGACGCGACCGATGACTGCAGGCTACGCAAAAGGCCTTGACAACTGTCGAAGTCGGGGTCCCTTTTGCAGATGGCAAGGCCGAGCGGCTGCAGTGGAGAGCATACGGCGTTGCGCAACAAGGAGATGCCGGGTCTGCCTTCAACGATTGATGTTGTGTTGTCGCGTTTGCGCATGAAAGACTTGTACGCCGGGCTTCCCTCGATCCGAGCCACTTCTACGTGGGACCCGTTCTGGAGGTAGATAGCCGCGGTTCTAGAAATGGAGTCAATAAATCGGCTTCGAAGGAGGGCGTTTTGGGGTCTCGTACCCATAATCTGGTGTGAGGCTAAAACCAACGCCAGGCACCGGCGGATGCGACAATGATGATGCTGTCGCGGCCTCTGCGAACATGAGAAGCAGGAAAAGGCATAGACGGGACACGTGTGTCTGGACGGACATGATGTCGTCGGGTTGTCCGAAATGGCGATAATGGAAATTTGGCTAAGTGTGGAAGGTTGTTTGTTGTTGATTGTCGCGTTTGTTTCGTCACCGTTGGGCTTTTGGTCCTGCCTGTGAACGGAGCGCAGCGACAACTGTGGGTCACGTGAGTACAAATGCGCAACGTGGATCTTGACTTGGCGTTGGTGCTTAAATATGGATGTGATGCAGCGCAATCGCGTGGCTGTGTCGGTGAACTGATTGGCGCGCGAGTTGCTATTCGTGATGGGGTTCCAACACCATGCGTTTTCTCCTGGTCGCAGAGGGGCTGTGTGCACCAGCCAGCCCCAAGGTGGTATTCAGTATTGCAGCTCAGCTTTCGCCCTCTTTATGTCATAGGCTAGCCATACAGGTGTCTCCGTGATCTATCCTGGCCCCCATCCCATCATAAATATCTCCATCAGAGTCATCCTTCAGTCGGCAAGGTGTGCTCGCAGGCGGCGAACTGCTAAACAAAGAGGAGAGGCCCGAATTAAGCGCTGCCGAGCTTCTGGAAATGTCCACTCCAGGTTCCACCAATTCCAAGATGTATCATATCTTGAGGCACGGTGCTCAGAGCTGAGCCTGGGGGCCAGGCTTTTTTGCACTCTTTGCCTCTACCACGCAGGACACCATACTTTCCTGGGGAGAATATGCCCCCATGCTGGCCTTGGCCATTCATCTTGATGGTGTTGGAACGCTAAGGTTCAAGGGGCTGTGAGATTCGTAAATAGATGCAAGTCCACTCTCAGGCTGACGGCTCTCAGCTTAGTTGCTCGGCTGGGAGTCGATGCACGCGTAGCAACATTGAACTCTTCTCTTGCCTAGACTTCGTGGATGGATAAGGCATATATATCTTAGTTGAATTATTATCATTGGGAAAGCCAGACAGTCATCCTCAACCTCTTCTCCAATCCTTTGACTATTCACTCCAATATTCTAAGATTACAACAAGGACACCAGAAACGACCTCAGTCGACGACAACGACTTCAACCGACAGAGACGACATAGAAGACCTCGGCAGCACTTCCCCCACTATATACTTTCCTATTATATACTTTACTATCATGAAGGTCACATCTCTTAGACTCTTGGCTTTGTTGGCGGGAACATCTTTTGCGGTCCCCCACACGACCCGCAGAGATGTTGATCCCGAAAACCCCTCCGCGTCTGATCCGAAGACACCCCCTTCCTCCATTAAAGACCCTCCACGGCCGCAATCAATCTCAAATCCGTTTGTTGGGAAGTCTGTTACGGTTCCCGGCTCTTGCGGTAACCTCTGGAATCCATCCGAGACATGCCTTCGAGACCTGGAGGCTCAGAACGAGAACGTCGGGGCATACGCTGGGGATCTCAAGTTCGAGGATAACAGCTGCGACGACGGACAGAAGCTCGCACTCGAAATTGCCGCCTGGGATGCCTTGACGCTTGCAAACTTTGGCGGAAAGAATCCGCAGTCCGCAAAAGAGATTGCGACGTGGAGGGCTTATATCGGTCCTGACTTTTCCTCTCAGCAGGGCCGTATTGTTGGTATGGAGGCTTCCACACCTCGAAACGCTTTGACAGTGCTGCTTACACCATAACCCACAGACAACCTGCACCGAATTCAGGACCACAGGCCCAAAAAGAAGTTTGACATTATTGCCAGTTGCAAGGACACTAAGAGATGGTGCAAGGCAATCACCGGCGGATCGGTTGGCGGCTACGCTTGGACGGAGAAAGGCTGGTTTGGCTACACCTTTCAGCATATTACTCTGTGTCCGATCTACTTTGGTCTCGACTCTCTGGAAGAGAAGTTCGAGATGATTGAGAAAGCTCTGGCGAGAGGCGACACCACGTACGCCGAGATTGCAGACTGGCAGAAGAACAAAGGCCAGTATTTCTTGCACGAAATGATGCACCTGGATGCCGTTGGCCAGCCTCACAGTAAGAAACCCCTCGAAATACCAGTTTGCCTTGACTTTTCAGAGTCGCTGACAAGACACGCTTAGTCTCGGACCAGTACCTCAGCAGCAGCGAACAAATAGGACCCAAAGCATACGGCCCTGCGGACGTCTACAAGCTAGCACAGAAAGACCTCAAAAGAGGCGGCGGAGCCACGCGGGCGAGTCTCAATGCCGACAGTTACGCATGGCTGGCCAATAGCCTGTACTTCTACGACGCGACGGGCTACTTCCCCAGGCCGTCGGAGGGCACGAAGGGTGCCGAGGCTGATAACATCTACTTCGTGGACCTCGGGGAATTCGAAGGCGAGGCGAAAGACGCCGAGATCGAGAAGCGCTTCAAGGCCGAAGTGGATAGCTTCTCAAGTCCTCCGCCGACCCCTACTGACTCGTGTAAGAGAGACAGTGACTGCTCTTCGCCGCTATGCGCCGGCGGCGGTGCTGTCTACTCCTGCGTCGAGGGTTTGTGCCAGTGCGGATCCCCTAAGCCGCCGCCACCGGCGCCTATTAACACTCCCCCTCCAGGCACAAAGTGCTTTGAGGATTTGTCGGAGTCTGAATGTACGAGCAAGTATGAGTGCCCTGATGGGATGAAAGTCGGTTGTGCGAAGACCGGCCTTGCTCCTATAACTTGGTGTACCTGTATCTAAAGTAACAAACACGGTGAAGTAGAACACGGTGAAGTAGAACACGGTGAAGTAGAATAACATAGCTAGTACAATCGTCATTATAGTCGTTATTGTTACAGTCATCATTATTATCATTAATCGTCATCGTCTATCGTCATCGTCCTTTAGTGATATGCGTCGGTGCCGCTACTCCTATTATTTTATTTTTTTGCAAGAGTGATGAGTCGGGATAACCTATCAGAGAGGAAATATAGTCAAGTGGATACTGTGTTTCAGCGCCACATACTTGTTCACAAAGGGTTCATAGATCACTACACGGAGGATATACACGTGAGACATAATATAGGTCTTTTTTCAGCTGGAAGCTTTATATCTGGACAAGGAATTACGCTGCTATTGCGAATGACCGAATTAAGAAGCTAACAGCAGTCACTCTAGTTCCCTTGCAACCCTCCGCTCGCAGCCTTCCATTGCAGGAATAGTCTCTGAAACCTACAAGCATCCCAAACTCATTCATGAGTTTGCGATATTTAGACTGTTTTCTCAGAGCGGATAGCATAGACCCCATCATCGCGACGAATAGCGTAAGCATCTTCGCCACGGCGGATAGCGTAGGCGTCAGCATCCTCATCGCGGCGCATAGCATACGCATCCTCATCACGACGAATGGCGTAGGCGTCGGCATCCTCATCACGACGGATAGCGTACGCATCCTCGTCGCGGCGAATGGCGTAGGCTTCCTCATCGCGACGACGAATGGCATACGCATCCTCGTCGCGGCGGATGGCGTAGGCGTCAGCATTCTCATCGCGACGAATTGTATAGGCGTCTTCGTCGCGGCGGATAGCATAGGCATCCTCGTCACGACGAATTGCGTATGCGTCTTCGTCGCGGCGGATAGCATAAGCTCCGTCATCTCGGCTCACATGTTGCTTGGGTGTACTGCGAATGGCGTAGTCCCTGGCCTCAGTCACTGGAGCAGCAGTGACGGCAGCGGCCAGCATGAGGAAGGTGAGGGCGTACTTCATACTGAATGTCGTGATGCTTTGATGAGAAGGTTGGAGAGAAGAGTTGAAAAAGCCCAGATTGGAAATTGAAATGATGTGTAAACTGATCTTGTGTGTCTTGTTCGAAGTTCTCAACTCTCAAGAAGGTGGCTATCTCTCTCTCTATATACTCGTCAAAGAATTTTCTCGAGAATTTCCGGATAATCTCGTTTAGTTAGGTAAAGATGTTGCTCTGCCAATAAACCGTCCAAGTGAGAAGCCCCTATCTTGTTCATTGGCATTTGCTATTGTCGGGACTCAACCTAGTGCTGGCTGTGGATGTCGCCATCGACAGAGGTGATGGCTAGAGTGACCAACTAATGTGGGCTACTGCTCGGCTGCCGGTCACAAGAGTTACGCCTCGCCACCGCAGGTTTCAAACCTGATCACATCACCATTCACGCTCGCCCGAGTATTGAGAGCATTTCTGCAATGTCAGTCTCGGGTACCAATTGTCCGAGTCAATCAAAGCAGCTTGGCCGACAACCCCGACGTCCCTCTGACGATGTGTTTTCCGTAGTTATCGCGCATCTCGTAGTCACCTTCCGTAACCTGTAAGACTCCTGGGTCATCACGTCTATGGGATGGCTCAACCTCACTCTTCCAAATGTTCGTGTGTCTTTCAACCTTAGAGAACTGTTGGTGCAAGGTTGCAGTGAATGCGTTGAAGCGGAGGAACTTATGCATGTGTGAGAAACTGAGGGGTCGGTAAGCTGACAGCAAGAAGCGCCGAGACAAGCATGAAGCGATTCCCAACGAGGCATTTACTGAACATTCCGGTGGCGGCCAGTTTTGTTGATCCATCTTCTCTAAACGCAGTCCCCTCAGCACACGTATCTTCACGTCCATAAGCCGCGGCGTAGCATCGCAGTCTAGGCAACAGAGTCGCCCGGAAAGGATGAATCCAGTTGGACACAGAATCATGCTCGTGCATAACACTCCACACAGTGTGCGGCACAGAACTGTTATGGATGGGCTAATGGAGAGAATCGAATCGGCTTCTCTTGCCCTGTGCAGTTGGTCCAGCGGCCCGTCCCACGCTGTTTGAGGGGTGCATGCATATGGCGCCATTCGGTCAGATATTCTGAAAGATGGGAAGAATACGGACGCACTACGCGCTTGGATTGAAGTCATGATAACACCAAGATCTTTAGCGAAGGCAGGGTACTTTTAACCCATTTCAAGCCTGGAGTCTCGGGGCTCTCGGACAATCCAAAGTGCGTTATCATGAGGACTCTGCTGCCCCCCCCCCCCCTCCCCCCGAGAAAGCACACATTGTTTGATCAGGCTCGTTGCTCTGATCTAGGTCATTCAATTTTCGTCTTACTCTCTAGGTAGGCATTCTTTATTCATTTCTAAGCAG